CAGTAACAATAATGTTTCAATTTTATGCTAGAAGATGTATATAAGAAATCGTTATTGCACGAGACGTGTTGTTCATATAGCTAATCACACAAACATATCGCTTTGTTATTTATCTGAGCAGGTGTCTTTTTGAGATACGGAATTTCCAATTCCTTTAGATCATACAACAAAGCCGCACTTTTCATTTCGGAGGAGGCAGAAAGTGTGTAGTACAAAAAAGGCATAAGTTAGCGATTCTATGACATTTGATTTAAATATAGATTTTCAAATATTAGGATTATAATAACACTGTCTTTTAATGCAAAATTGATCATATCATTGAACTTGAGTAAAAAAGAGCAGAATCATTTAATTGCACGTATTTCAAGCAAGAATTTGAGTTTACAATTTTGGAATGATATCTATATTCAAACACAAAAAGATAAAATTTTACTATGTATAATATGCCTCAAACATGGGCGTCAATCCTGCGATAATCGGGGGTGACTATTTTTATACATTCAGTTATGCCAGGCTGATTTCTTTTGAAAATGAAAGTTTTTTGAAAAGAAAATAGCCAGTCATAGCAGAATATATGAATATGGTCCCCCAATTTAGACAGGATTTTCATAATGTATAAAAGAAAATAGGCTAAGTTAAAAGAATTCGTATGAGACTACGTTTTCGGTGATTTTTCGATAAAGTGCACTGAAGTACGTCATCTACAACTTATAAACTCATTTACGTCAAAATACTTGTAAGCAACTTTATATTTGTCACAAATTTGTTCACATGTGAAAAACCTTTAATTACTTGAAGCTTCATTGTTTTTACTTTGCACATAAAAAAGGATTAGGCTTTTTCATCAAGATCATGAGCTAATAAATGGTTATTATTTCGTCAAAAAGTGCTTGGATGAGTACAAATTTGAAAAGTAATTACTCATGAAGCAGTTAAGTGCTTACAATAAAGATATGTATATTACTGTACGTTATTCAAAAAAGCTGATCATTTTTGTTATGCAGAGCACTGTCACATGTTGTAAAACGATTATTATTTTCATCTTTACTAATTCCCCTCTACATAAAGGAAAAATATCCTGTTGCTTTTAATTTTCACTTTGCGTGAATTGATAGCAGAAGCAAAATTCTTTTGTAAAATACTGTTCTCATGGAAATCTACTGCTATATGAATTTATCTTCCTGTTTTTAACACGTTTGAAGGATTTTCATCTATAGTTTTATAAAAAGCTATATTAATTCTCTACATGTGTTTATGTTATCCAATATGAATATTTAAAGTTTTTTGAGTATTATATGTATATTCATTTTACTATAAAAAAAGATACACATAACAACTTATAAGGTTAGGTCTTCTCAAGAAAGTTTTTTTCTCACTTTTCTGATATGCAATGTGTCTAGTTTGGTATAATTGACTATATTAATAGAAGACTTTTTGGCTTTTTTGTCTGTCTTGTTTTCACTTTAACTGTTATCGTATATGTCGAGATATTTTGTGGCAAGAAAACCGTTCTAAAAAACATGGTGTAAAGCTTATAACGCTTTTATAACCTGCAGAAAATACTCCAGTTTGGCAGCAAACCAAAAATGATAACACGATTATACCACAGTTATTTAAGCCTCTAAATATAAAGATCTAATAACATAAAATTTCTAAATTCATCAAATTTTCATTACTTAAAAACCGTAGGAAGTTGTAGAAATGCGAGTGTTCATCAGTTTTACAAAGCACGTTGCTTTAAACGAAATTTTACATTTTTACACCGAGAAAAAACTTCAGTAGCAGGTGATATTTTTTAAGAGTTATAGCAATTTAAAGTCCATTAAAAAGTGCTTTGCTAAGTATGTGGAAGGCTTATCATTTAACTGTTATCATTGATTTTTATTACCAGATATTTTCGATATTGCTGCACAAACCTAGTGATTGATCATTTTGCAAATACAATGCATTTTCACTTACTGTATAAAATAATCAAATTTATGATTAGATGAAATATCTACTGAGTGATCTTTCATTTACGTATTCAATCGTTCGAACACAAAGGAATACGAAATTTTATATGCAGCAGAAAGAGCAATTGCTAAAGAACACTGACCCTCATTGACAAACTGCTTACAAGAAAATGACGAATTTCTCATTAAATGTGTTCACTCAATTTTGCCTCAATGAAGAAGAGGTGTTTACTTTTCGTTCAGATGTTTCCAGCATTGGGATGTATGTGAAATATACAACTGCATTTTTGATGCTACTCATAATTACGATGCTTACATTTTTTCTTAACCTCACCGCCATCTTAACATTTCTGTCATCAAATCGTCTGAAAATTCCGTGTGTTATTTTCTTATATTCCTCCAATCCATTGTGGACCTCATTTTTGGAACATTGACTATGATGCTAACTTTTTGGCTAAACTTTCGATCTTTTTTCATGTTAGATTTCAACTGCACGTTGTTCCACGTTGAGCGGATGGTTCTCTATGTACATATTGGCTCCTCTGTGTCTGTGTTATCTTGTATGAATATCGAAAGATTTTTGGGCATCGTATATCCAATGCACCATTGTACTGAAGTGACAAAATCTAGGTTAACAGCTTATGTGTTTACAGGTATTTTCTCTCTTTCTTGTTGTGCACGATTGCAAACTTAATTGAATCGACGTCAAGGTTACGAGAGGTTTTTGCTTGTGTTTGTCTCTTGCATTTTATTGGAACTGTTATAACATATGTCAAGATTTATTTTGTGGGAAGGAAATCGCTTTCACGAAAAAGTGGTTTAAAGCGTGGACGCCATAAAATAACCACCATGATTGACAAGCGTCAGAGTTTCACTAATAAATCATGTACGTCAAAAAGATATACAAAGGAAAATTCATCTCAACCAAAAAAAACAATCATCAAATGCAAAAAAGCAGATGAAAATTTTGCAATGAAGAGGAGGCATGCAGTAGTTGACGTAGAAGGAACAAAAAAGTCGGAAGACTTTGAAGATAAAGGTCTCTCATATCAGCCTGTTTCTTCACGTACAAGTAAAACAAGGTCAAGTTCAAAACGCCAGGAGGATGAACGACCTAACAGAGTTTGCAAACTTTTTCAACGAAAGAATTGTGAGATGAATGGACATGAACTGATTCAAAACTATACGTCGCATGTTGAAAAATGCGCACGGAAGAATTTATTGCACAACATAAAATTAGCAAACTCATGTCGGTTAGTCGTTATATTTTCCTTAATGACCTTCGCAATACCTCCTATAATCATAGGAGTTCAGCCGATATACTTAGCTCAACATTATAAAGAAGTGACCTTTTTGTGTACAATATTCTATTTTTCAAATTCCTTCGTGAATTGTACAATTTTCTTCTGGAGGATAGCAATCTTGAGAAATGAGGCCAAAGTTTTTTTCCAAAGACTATGGCTTACATTATCAAACAAAAATTGAAAAACCTGAATTTGTTTGTAACGTTAATTATTATGTGTGTGTTGCAATAAACTAGGCCAGAAATTATATTAAAAAATCTGAAAACTGGTGTGTTCTAGTGTTAGTCTAAATTCTTCATATTCGACGTTTATTTAGTTTGTGTTAAAAAAGGTAATGCGACTCCCTCCTAAAGTACTAGATGAGTGACCGAAAATTATTGATATAACTACACACATTGTTTTAGCTTTCGAATGTCAACATATGCACGAAAATTGAGAAAATGTGAGCTTACTAGAAAATTGAAGAAACGTTTGCACCTGCATGTCCATAATTTTATGTTAACAGAAAGTATCATAGCTAATAAATTCACTTGCATTCCAGTATGTGATCATTAATTCCCTTCTTTAAAGCTCCTCTAAATAAACAAAATTTGCCAATGACGATTGCGTATTTTAATACATTAGACACAGAATAAAATGGAAAGTACGGAGTTGTTAAAAAAGTAAGGACATATGAGTCTACGGACATGATGGACTCTACTGTTGGGGCGACAGGTGAGTAGGCATGCAGGTCTATCTGCGAGAGTGGGACCTCATGTGTGAATGTAGGCCAATTTGTTATGCACACGAACGTCCGCAAACCCTGCAGGGGTACAAGACAAGAGGGGCAGAGCGTTGCTTCCTTCGGGCCCTCTTCTCCTTGATGGCGGCTGCTCTACCGGCTTCGAAGTTCCGAACGCCCTTGGAGCATAGACGCCTCCACTGCAGTCTGTCTCCCGCCAACTCCTCCCAGGTGTTTGGGTCTATGTTGCAGCTCTTGATGTTGGCTTTAAGGGTGTCTTTGTATCTCTTCAGCGGTCTTCCTTGGACACGGCTCCCGTCTTGTAGTTGACCATTCGGCAGGTGGTGGCTCGTTAACCCAGGAAGGTAGCCCACCTAGGGAAGGAAAACCCTGACTCCAAACCTCCGCTTCCTTGCGGTGTACTCGGTCACGGGAAAGGCTAGGAGACGGATACTCCGAAGAAGCTGCACCTCGGCGTCAGTAGGCGAGCATTCGGCGTCAGTAGGCGAGAGGGTGGATACGGGCATGCACATCCCTCTTCACCTAAAACATTCACCTGTGCTGGTCAGGCAAGCTGGTTTGCCGGAATCAATTTATGCAACCATCCCTTTTGCACCAGCTATCTCAAGTCCTGTGGCGATGGAGAAATGGTGACGGGAAAGGCAGAGGATGCTGCTGGAAGTTCTTAGCCATGACTCTGCACGCAGGCGGCTGCGAATTGATGGTCGTCCGCCATAAACCTAGGGCAGATACGGCGCCCGTATCCTCTCGCAGTGACAGAGCAGCCCTCTTTTGGGTTAGCACTGCTCTCCCCACATGGGGAAGGGGAGATAAAAGGATCCCTAAACAAAGACTGCCCTACTTGCACCTGGCAGGAACCGCACCTGCCTGGGCATCCAACTAAGCGGTCGTACAACTAAGGATAACAAAATAAGAAAGCGCTTAACCATTGGGGCATGGAACGTGAGAACGCTGTTGGATAGAGGAGACAGACCAGAGCGACGCACTGCTCTAATAGCAAGGATGCTTGGACAATACCAGGTGGACATAGCCGCATTGAGTGAGACCAGACTTGCAGATGAAACTCAACTGGAAGAGATCGGTGGTGGCTACACCTTCTACTGCATTGGGAAACCTGAAAACGCCCCAAGACACTCAGGCGTGGGATTTGCCATACGCACTCAGCTCGCAAGGCGACTAGTCAGCTTGCCACAGGGCATCAGCGATCGCCTCATGACCCTAAGGCTGAAACTCCAGAAAGACTGCAACGCAACAATTGTCAGCGCCTACGCCCCTACAATGACAAACCCAGATGAAGTGAAGGTAGACTTCTACGAAGAGCTCAACCAGCTACTCTCCAGTGTTGACCGCAGAGACAAATTCATCATTCTTGGAGGCTTTAACGCACGAGTTGGAGTAGACTACACCATCTTGCCAAACATCCTGGATCGCCATGGAACTGGCAAGTGCAACTCCAATAGCCTGATGCTACTATCCCTGTGCGCACAGCACGAGCTAACCATCACTAACACTCTCTTTCAACAAGCTGACAAGCTGAAGAACACATGGATACACCCTCGCTCCAAACAGTGGCACATGTTGGACTACGTAATCGTCCGCCAGAGGGACCGCAGAAGCGTGCACATCACACGCTGCATGCGCGGTGCCGACTATTGGTCTGATCACCACCTGCTACGGAGCAAGATGAACATCCAGCTCGCCAGAAATAACAAATCAGCAAGAGAGAAGCCACTTAGGAAGTTGAATGTAGCTCGCATTCCACCCAACAAAGAAGAGCTGCAAGAGAAGCTAGAGGTAGCCCTGGGAAACATTAACATCACGGGCGAGGATATAGAGGAAGACTGGAGCACTTTCAAAGAAGCCGTCTACAACTCTGCAGCGAGTATCCTTGGATACGTGGAATAAAACATCGAGACTGGTTTGACGAGAATGACGCTGAGATCAACAGGCTTATTGACAGGCTCCATAAGGCTCACAGTGACCTTATAGGGGACAAAGCTTGCGAAAAGAAGAAGCAAGACTACCAGCAAGTGAGGCAGCATGTGCAACACTGCGGGAAATGAAGAACGCCTGGTGGGAAAAGAAAGCAGAAGAAATCCAAGTGGCAGCTGATGCTCACGACTCAAAAAAGCTCCACGATGGGCATTGCACGGTGTACAGTCCAAAATCGGCAGGCTCTACCCCCATCAGGTCTGCAGACCGAACGAAACTGCTAAAAGACAAAGCTGACATACTTTCCAGCTGGACTGAACACTTCAACAAGCTGCTGAATAGAGTGTCACAGATGAACGAAGAAGCCATTGAGTCCCTCCCCCAGCTGCCAATCAAAGAGGAATTGCCGACCCACCCACCAGAGACAAGGTTGCAAAGCCCTCAACAGACAAGGTCTGGAAAGGCTGCTGGGGCGATGCATTCCAGCTGACGTCTACAAGAACGGAGGCCAGGCACTCCTGGACAAACTGACATCCCTGTTCCAGGAGGTTTGGAAAGTTGTCAAGGTCCCCCAGGACTTCAAAGATGCTGCCGTCGTGCACATCTATAAGAGGAAAGGCGGAGACCTCATGTCACAACCATCGAGGCATACCCTTCCTCTGCATCGCAGGTTTTGGCCCAGGTAGTCCTCAACAGGCTAATCACAAATGTGTCCGAGGCCATCGTCCCTGAACCTCAGTGTGGTTTCCGGGCAGGCAGTGGAACTACTGACATGGTTTTCGCTATTTGCCAGTTGCAGGAAAAGTGCCGCGAGCAAAACAATGAACTCCACATGGTCTTCGTAGACCTAACTAAGGCATTCGACACCGTTAATCGGGAAGCCTTTGGAGGATCCTGGGAAAATTTGGGTGTCCAAAGAAGCTAGTCTCTCTGGTAGCCTCCTTTCACGATTTCATGCAGGCAAGAGTCCAAGAAAGTGGGAGACATCTGACCCATTTTCTGTGAAGAACGGTGTGAATGAAGGTTCTGTTCTTTTCCCACTCTCTTCTCCATCCTGCTCGCAGCGATGCTGCTCGACGCCTTCCGTGACTTCAACAATGGGGTGTACACTCAGTTCCGTACTGATGGAAAGATCTTCAACCTCAGAAGACTTCAGTCCAAGACCAAAGTCTACGAGGCACTCCTGCTTGAATTTCTCTTCGCAGATGACTGTGCACTATCCGCCCACTCCCATGAAGACATCCAGTGCATAACAGACCGCTTCGCAAATGCATGTGATCGCTTTGGGCTGACCATCAGCCTGCGCAAGACTGAGACTCTGGTCCATTTTCCACCATCCCAGACACATGACACCTCACCACCACCTCCTGTCATCATTAACCACACCAACATCAAGACTGCTGACAAGTTCTGCTACCTTGGCAGCACCATCAGCAACAATGGTTCCCTGGACGCAGAGGTAACGCTGCGTATTGCAAAGGAAAGTGCTGCTTTCGGCAGACTAAAGAGAACACGGAATCAAGATCGTCACCAAAATTGCTGTGTACAGGGCTGTGGTCCTGAGTGTTCTGCTGTACTGCTGTGAAACCTGACCACTTATCGCAGGCACATACAACAGCTGGAGCAGTTCCACGAACGCTGCCTGAGAAAAATCCTCCGCATCAAGTGGCAGGACAAAGTGTCCAACCTTGAAGGCCTTGAAAGGTGTGGACTCCCCAGCATTGAGAGCTTGATCATCAAAGCTCAACTCCGATGGACAGGCCATGTCGTAAGTACATGGCCTTATTATCTTATTTCTACTAAAATCTGCATACCTTGAAAAATGTATATCATTTAAAATTCATTCAGAAGATTTCACAACACGAAAATTCTGTAGCTAGTTTTTATAGTCTTTAAGCTAAGTAGGTTTCAGTCAACATGCCCGGGCTTTCGAAAGGCCCTAGGTATCTGCACTTAATTAGTTTTTACTTTTTGCTTATCAAAACTAGATTAAAGCTATTAATTTGGAACATTTATAGTGTTGAAAACTGAACGATTGATTAAATATTAAGGATATAAGGCTTTGACATATGTATTCATTGTTTAAATGCGCGACATTACAAATTCAGGAAGTAGTGTGTTTTCAAATTGCAAATTTGTCGATTAAAAGAAGAAAAGATAGTGACTTGTTTTTCTCTATTGTTTAGTTATAAAAGGTTTGAAGTTGATGTCTCTAAATTTTGCTATTGTATGAATTGGTATTTTTCATTAAAAAAGCTTGTGGAATACTGATATCAGAATAAAATAATACAACTATACAATCATGAATTTGTCTTCAAATGAATTTTCTCAATTCTGCCGGGTATTTGATGTTGTAATTCTCGCTCTTTCTTCCATTTCAAACGAGGAGGTGAAAATAAACCACATAGTTATAATCGTGTTACATCTATTTATTTTGTTCCTTACGCTTTTCTTTAATCTTACCGATATCTTGACATTTATGTCATCGAAGCGTCTGAGGAGTTGTCTTTGTTATTTTCTTATATTCCTCCAATCAGTTGTTGATGTTACTATTGGTACATGGGTTATTATATTAACCATTTTGCAAATCTTACCGGAATTTTCAATCTTAGATGTTGACTGTCGGGTAACTCATGTGTTCATTATTGGCTTATTTCTGTTCCTTGACTGTTCGGTTTCTGTGTTGTCCTGTATGAATATCGAAAGATATCTGGGCATCGTACATGCAATCTGTCATCCAACAAGAGTGACAAAAAATAAGTTAATGGACTATGTCTTTACAGGTTGTTTTATCTCTTTATTGATGTGCATATTTGCACATATAATCGAAGCAATTTCAATGATACAAACATTTTTCGTTTGTTTATCTATCTTGCATTTCCTTGGAACTGCTTGGGTGTATGTAAAGATTTATTATGTTGCAAGAGTATCACTTTCATAAGAATACAGTGCAAAGATCAGTGCAGAACATAAAACAACAGCAGCGATTATCTATGTAAAAGATTCAAGCAAAGAGGGATGTACGTCCAAACATTTAACCGACAATAATGAATCTTTAATGGAAAATCAAAGCAGTAAATTGAAAAAATCCCGGGAAGCATGGCCTACTGTAATTTGAGTAGGCCATGCTGGAAGATATTGCAAGGAAAATTAACCATAGAGCATTTGAAGTGGAAGTAAAAACTCAATGTGATGTGACTCGAAGTAAAAGTCTTCAATTTCAGCCCAGATCCAATATTCCAAGCTTAATACACGAAAAACATGGAAGAAGGAGTTGAGTTTGCAAATATTTTCAAAGAAGTAATAACAGGATGGTAGCGCATGTAACGATTCAAAATCCTTCGTTGCCAGTTAAAGCATATGCTCGCAAGTTATTACTTTATAACATGAAATTAGCCAACTCTTGCCGCTTGATCGTTATTTTTTCATTGATAAGTTTTGCTATACTTCTTATTTTATTAGGATTTCAACCGATTGATTTCGGTGTTTATTTCGTGGAAAAAAACGCTTGGTGTAGTGTGTTATATCTTTTAAACCTACTGTTGAATTATTTTATTTTCTTCTGGAGAGTGGCAATAGAATTTATTCATTCAAAAGACAAATAAAAGTTTTACTTCATACGAGTATTTCAAATTTGCTTTTCTAAATTTATTGTTATTAACGTATTTTTATGAAAATGTAATATTTGTCTCGGCTTTGTTTAATCATCAACATGATGAAGACTATATTGTTTTAAGTGATTTCAAAGTTAACCATATCTACATATGCATAGAACCTAAATTTTAAGTCAATAAACAAAGTTATTTGTTATAAGAGTCAAATAAATCTTACTTATATGGTGTAGTAATTAAGTTCGCCTAAATCGTTGTTTTGATCGAAGGACATAATAAAGTATTTTTGAAGAAGAAAGCAGTTATGTGCATGCATGCTTTTTAAGGATTTATTTAAACTCATTTACGTCAAAGCTTCTTCCAAACACTGTTTTAAAAGAACAAATAAGCTAATTAACGAGAGATCTACAAAATTCATGGCCCAAAGCTCTCAAAGAGAGTCTGACGACTTGTTCCTGTTTTAAAGATACTTTGCCAAAGTTTTGCAAAAGCCAGTTACTTCTCCAACCCTTATATTGCCACCTTTTAATTCTCTGATGAATCTGACTGTTAATATGCTGAGTTGTAGCTGTGGTCACAAAGGAATATAACGTCATCTTTCTGGACATGCAGTCACTGGCCCATCTTTGTTGCCAACAATCTGGAGGCAGTAGTTACTTCTAGTTTTATCTTATTTTGTTTTCTAACTTATGACAATTTGGAGATATTAGAAGAAATGTAAGTTGTTAGTTGTTTACGTTTTTTAGTGTTAATTTTTTTGATAGTGAATAAATTTTTCGTGCAGTATCGAGATTATTCTGGTTATTCATGCACAAAAATCAGCAAATTTGTATTACAAATTTTGATATTAGGAGATGAAACTAAAACAGCAATTGGAAAGTTTGGGTTATCGAAAGGTTCGGGGCAGATATTGTGAGGTTCGTACATAAAATCTGCAATGGGCTTGTCGTGGAGTTTATCCGCAGCTGATTCATGATGTTTAACGCTAAAAAACATTTTACAATATCAATTTATTTTTGACTCTTTTATTCAATCCTTTTTTCCAACATATATAATCAATATATATATGTGGTGGTGTAGAAAAATCACAGAACTACAGATTCATCCCGGCAAGCCTGTTTCATGATTGCTCACTCATCAGGGGATTTAATGAATAAAATACTTAAATGCTTAAAATATATATACAAGATGACGGAAGTTAGTGTATTAATCAAGGTGTATAGTCGTGGTCAATATTGCTGTCTTTACATCTCATGGAACATCATCACACACAGCAAACCATACAACAGCACCAGTAAAAGATGCAACCTTGCCTTAAAGAAAAATTCTTCATCCTCTACCAACCATCCAAATCATCCCTCA